AGGATTCTGTGGAGGTAATCTAAAAGGAGAGTATCATTTGAGCATCACTGTTGCAGAGATAAAGGCCTATGTCACGGCTCAGCATACAAACAAGGCATTGTGAATGCTTTTAGAAAACAGCATTGTAGACCACAACTAATGTAGAGCCTGTTGTAGTGCAAATCCAGCAGAATGACAATGGGCAAGCCAACTCCCTCCCTCACTAATCTAATCTTGTCAGGTGTGGCTGACATTAAAACTCAGTTTCTACCACAACTGCTGTTTTAATCTTACAAATACAGTAATACAATCATTGAGATTTCCAGCTGGGTTGGAACCCAGGAGGAGAAAATTGCAAAAATAAAAAGAATAAAAGAAAAGAAAAGAAAAGAACAGAGAAAAAAAGAAAAGAAAATGAAAACATAAATGAACATTCTTAATTATTTTGCATTTTGGTGGGTCTATATAATGTTTTATAAAAAAGAAATTAAGAATAGATTTCAGTGATTTTGAAGGAGAAAATGGCAAATAACAAAATGAATGCAAATTATTAATAATGCAAATTTGTTATTACAAATTATTAATAAGAAATTTCAGTGATTTGGGAGGGGAAAATGGTAAATAAAATTAAATAAATAAATAATAATAATAATAAAACAAAAATATTGGTAAGCCTGTGCATTTATTTGTATTATTAATACATTATGCATCATTTTATTAATACTTTTGGGGGGGGGATTAGACTAAAAAGATCTATAGTCAATCACAAAATAATTGTATCAATAGTTAAAAAAAATGGTTTAAATCTAAATTAAGCTGCTATTTCCTTTAAAAATGGTATTAGGAATTCTTCATCTTTCAAATCCCAAAAACTTTGTCAGAAAATTGCACTGAAAGAGAGGCAGGGGTCAAAGACAGCCATGTAGTCAGAGGAAATGACCCCAACAGGATTTGAAAGAGGTCTTCCTGTTCACTGTACGGCAGACTTGGGATTTAAATCTTGGAGAACATACTGCAGAGCATTTCCTTCCCTAGAAGCAGTTTTCTCTTTCTTATCCTCCACTTTTCCACGCAGCTCAGGTTTCTAGACTGTTATGTTTTAAACAAGCATGGCTCCGTTCCTTCACCGGACCATATCCATGAGTATTCAAAGAGACGGAACTGGATCAATGGCAATTGTAATGGTTGGCCTGTACCTCTCTCTCTCTCTCTCTCTCTCTCTCGGGTTAGGCCATTCTGCATCTGTAGAGCCCTCTGTTATGCAGTGCCAGGCACAGACACACTCACAAATAAACACAATGAGCTATTCTTGGCTTATTATTACTTGAAGCCACTACAGAACAGCAGAATTAAGAAGCTAACATTTGTCAGGGACACTTAAATGCTGACTTTTATGGTACTATAACACATAAACACGGGATGGGACAGTTCTGTGACTCTAACACCCGTCTCTTTTAAGCTGATACACTACAGATTGTTGGCAAAGATTGTTTGAAAGACAAAATACAAAATGTTTTCTTTCCTTTGGGAAGTTTGCTCCAAGACAGCATGCTGCATTTCCTCTATCACAGCCACAAAATCAGAGAAAAACACTCACCAGAGAAATCTGGAGCTGACGAGGTTTGCCGTGTGTTGACAGCTAGGGCGACGGAGAGGAAACACCAGGACCAACAAGAGCTCCATGGAGACATAGTGCACAACGCACATTACGAAGCGCTGTGATTTTTAACTAGGAGAAGTTGTTTGGCTGTTTACAGCCCTCTGACTTCTGACCAGGAGAAAGGGGTCAATGGTGGCATTGTGTTGAGTGGAGAACAAGAGCTCTTTCAACAGCATTGACACTGACATACATTTGTGTCATTGCACTAATTAGACGGTTTTCGTGCTTGTTTTCCATTTATTTATCAAAAGGGGTTTTTGAGGTGACAAAGTTCACATGTCTGTTTTTAATAAGCAGCAACCCTGATGATAATAAATTTAGTTTCCAGTCAAAAGTACAGCACAGTATTTGATCAGTCTGAATCAGAATTTTAGTCTTAATTATAAGTAAACAAATATCTGTTATAAGTTAAATTAAGCTGAAAAGAACATTAGTGTAAGATATTAAGACTTGTTTTCATAAATAGCTTTCATATAAATAGATTTCAAATGTTTTACTATATCTTAAATTGTATTTATTTTGAATATAATACGTTTATATTATACATAATACAAATAATACTTTTTGAAATATAATTTAATTGAATATAAATGTTTGACTTTTCATTTTCTTGTTTTAAGCATTTATCACATAAAATTATATACTTAAAACAAAACACATTTGCTGGTGGGGTAAGAAAAATAAACCTATACCGTATAACATGTTTTTTTTTTTTTAAAGAAATTAATATTTTTCAGCAAGGATGCATTCAGTTGATCAAAAGTGACCCAAACTTTTGAAGGGCAGTGTACATAAAATAGATATTCTCATGATTTTACACACTTTTGTTTTTGAGTGGATCTTGTTTTAAGGAGATTTATTTATTTATTTTTCATTTTTGTTTGCATTTTTATCATGCTTTTCTCTCCATTTTCAGATTTCTCTCCAAGAAAAAAGCTCAAAACAAGAAATGATCTTTGCTGAGCTTGACTATTTTGTTTCCTTTGCAGTGGGCCCTCATGATCAACATTTGGGGTCCTGTTTCAGGAGATAAAGCAAGGATTTTCCAAGCTGTGTGTTCGCAGCTGCTGGATGTCCTGTAGATAGCCTATCATCTCAGGGTATAAGTGCTTCCTCTCTCAGCCTGGAGAAGAGAGGTCAGTGGTTAGTGAGTGCATCACATTTCTGTACTCCAGAAACACTAGAAAAAACAACTCTGTTGCCATAGCAACGAAATACATCTAGATGAAAATATGAGTCTTGTGTCAGTCTGCTTTCTCTATAAGGACAGTGCGTTATCTAAACATGTGCTGCCTATTAAGCAGAAGACAGAAGACACGTAAGACTATCTATAAAGTGCATCTTAGCTTTCTCAGCAATCAGTCAATACAAACACCCTCCCCAGTCAAAAAGAAAAAAGAAAGTTCCACCCCCACATATGAGATCGGTCTAGTGCCTGATAGGAATGTTTGTGAATTAAATGCTGTACAATAAGGTGCTGACCTTTGACATGTTTGCTTAGTGATTGCAATGATGACTTCAGATTAGAGGCTTAGTCTTGCATCCTTACAGCTCATCATCTCCATGGTGATTTCTTGTTTGGTGATATATTCTTTGCGGTGGAGCAGTATAACGGGAATGAGAAGCTAGCATGGACTAAACAGCTATCAGCTCAGATCTGTTACTCACAGTATCCTGTTGGCTCCAGGAGGAGGGAGTACATGGGTAAACATTTCCTGTGCTGGCCGAAGTGAAACTCACTTAATTTCCAGGATTTGTTAAGAGTTTCCATGTCAGGCTCTTGTTTTGTATACAGTACAGTATGATCAAGAGCCTTTTTATACTTAAAGGGACTCCCCCCCCCCCCCCCCTTCTCAAGTCACTGAAAACATTACTTCTGTGTAACACAAAAGAGGATATTTAGCCAAATGACAGAGCTGCTCTCTTCCAAACAATGAACTTTTTTAAAGAACCATTGTCTGACAAGCTTCATCATTAAAATAATCCTTACTTATACACTGTATTGTTTATTCAACTTATTTCACCTTATTTAATCTTATTTAACACGGAAGTAAGCCATTTTTTAATGTGCGAGAATTATGATTCATTAGTCGCTAATAACTAATAACTAGGCAAATATCTAGAAGAATAACTAAGTGCAGTAAAACTATTTGTGCTACAAACAAATGTGTTTATTATGAAAATACATCAAAATAGTATGATAAGAAATACAAGTTAGCAATGTAAAGAAGTATAACAAGCTGTTTTGTACAGCTAAAAATAACTGAAAGCGGATGATATCAGAAACCTCACACATTCAATGTTACAACTGTCTTACACTTACTATATTACAAAAATATTGCTTTAAATTTCTAACTTGACAGACGTGGCCATTCACTTTCACTATATGGAACAGAACAGCTTGGACATTCTACTAAATATGACATAGGTTTCAAAAACACATGAGCGTGATTTAATAATTAATTTTCATGTTTTGTCAACAACCACTTTTAAAAGTCTTTGGGAGGAAAGAGCAAAGTGTCTCCTTGCTTTCAATATGTTTTTTTTTCATATAGTAGTGAGGTGTCTGCTTTTATGGTAATACTGTTTCAAGCTATTGTGATTTCCCCAAAATGATGCAATAAATACCCTTAAAACAACATCTGTGTGCTGAATGAGGAAATGAAACTCTTGCCCATTAGTGTTTATTTAAGAGGATGAAATATGGAACCGTTTTTTTTTTAAGAATGACATTGTCACTATAAATTCTGTTTTATATAGCATTGTTGTACAGAATGAATTTTATTGTCTAAGTTGGTCTAAGAGATTAACTTTATGATGTAAGTTATTCTAAGAGTGTTTCCATGTAATATGTGCAGTTATGAAGGGAAGCCATGAGATGACAGAATTGTTTCCCTGACGCAAACCGCATCTGTGACTCAAGAGGACTGCACAGGGAATGAGGGGATGTACCTATTTGTTTAAAAAGAACCAATCCCTTGAGAATGATCACATACCCAAATCCTCATTTGTCCATTAACACACAACTGTGTGTGTATCTTAGCAATAAACGTCTGATGTTTTATATAAACTATACACATACTATAGACTAACCCTACCACATACCCTACCCTACTACTACCAGAAAAGTGCATTTATATGTGTGTGTGTGTGTGTATATATATATATATATATATATACAAATGCACTTTTCTGAGATAGCACTATGACATTTCTCCTGAGTGTAAATGCATGCTGGAAAAAATTAAAAGCTATTTTTGAGCTCTCTGTCACATTCTGGTAGCAGAGTTATATAGTTGGGGTCACGCCCATCCTCTCTAGCCTCCCTCCCTCCTGACTTTTAAAGTCTGTTGCCTGAGGGAGACAGCAGAAAGCAAGAGTCTGAATAACTTTCACACATTACAGCTGCTTACGAATCTTTTGGGGATCTTCAACTCTCTGGTTAATTTGTGGAATGTTTTTCACAGCGGTCTGGACTGACTAAAATTGTTTTCCTGCTGAAAAAAAAATGGCACTCAGACAAGACTCAGATAAAGAACCACGAATCGAGCTCTTCATAAAAGTAAGTTGTTTAATTTTTACGTTTTAGTTGGTCGGATACTCTTATTCCAAATTAAAATAATATTCAAAGTCAAATTATATTAAATATACATTTAAAAAATAATATCTATAATATATTTTTAAGATTCTATTTTAAAAATAAAAATAAATTTAATTTATTATTAATAATAATAACTTAAAAATCAACCATTTAAATAATCTACTAATCTGAATATTGAAGTGGGGACGTGTCATGGTGTCAGCAGAGCACATGTAAACTGTGATTAGGTCCATTATTATGTAATCCTTATGGTTGAAATAGTCATGTTAAATTCACTGAATTATACTAACTTTTGATTGAATTTTTGTGGTTAATAAAATAGTTTATGTACATCTCGCCTCTTACTGTCAACCTATTACATCAGTGTAATTTATTTCTGACTGACAGGGGAAAAAGTACTTCACACGCTTATGGACTAAAAAACACAGCTTGTGACTTGAGCCAGTTGGCAAACGTGGATTAATGGTGGATTTACACTCTATCAGTGCTTTCCGTTAGGGAAGGTCTTCATTTGGGCACCATGAATCAAAGGTTGAGATGAGCATCACAGTCAACTTAGTTAACACGTACTACTGAAAATTGGATAGTATGTTTGATATATAACTGTTCACTCTTACGCTGCTCTTTATCAGAACAGACACAGAGACAGGACTGAGGTCATCTTATCAACACACACACACACACACACAGGAAAAGACTGACAGCTCTTGGCTCCCTGTCGTCACACCCATAAACATGCTTACATTTCCTATTCTGTAGATCCCATTAACATGTTTTACCAGTTTAGCTACAGTTCATGAACTAAATGAGTAGGATATGGATGAGTGGTGACCTTTAGATCCAAAGGACTATCAAAGCTTTGAAGATGGTCACCAAGTTATTTATAATTATTTCTGTCAGGACCACTATCGTCAAAGATGATTGACAATTAGCATACAGTTTGGATTGGCGGTATGGTTCCGTTCTGGGCAAGAACTCCATGCGCATCCATGCAGCCTAGCATGGATGAGAGCAGGGAGAGCAGCAATAACCCCCCCGGGGTAAACAGAACAGAACCATAAATGCATTGCAGATATCGTTAAAGTTCAATAATGTTATGTACACATTTTAGAATTAGTCTGATTCAAAGGAGAATCAGAAGGCTGAATCCTGACTGACAGAGGAGGAGTTGGGGATGGAGGAGGGTAATTAGCTATTGAGCAATCCGAAAACTGCTGATAATACTGAGGGATATAATAAATATATAATATATATATATATATATATATATATATATATATATATATATATATATATATATATA